GCCAGCAGCTGGCTCAGTTTAGAATGAGCAGCATTGCTTGTATCTGCTAGTGTGTGACAACCCAGGGGAAGGAGGCACAGGCACTGAGCACAAGCTTCATGTTTACTCAGCAAGCACCAGCTGAAGAGAACCATCTGATTTCTAAACTCCTGTTGCCTCCCACTTTTTCTCTCATCATCACACTACATATCTAAGCCACATATAAGATATCACAAACTAATTTGCTCATAAACTCCCTTTATTACAGCCCCTGTTGCTCTTTGTTCACCTGTCTCCCTCAAGCACCATACCAGAAGCCCCCCCCCCGTACTGACACAGGAGGAAAAGAAAGAGAAAAAGCCTGTAGAAACTGATAAATAAAAAAGAACCATCAGCTCTTTCTTGCCCTTGCAAATGACAGAGCATCTTCTTCCTGACCTGTCCCATCCACTCTTAAACTTTCCCACCAGCATTAATTTCTATTGCTATCTTGAGTTACAGGTATTTTTTTAGTAGAAGCAAGGTAAGGCAGGCTTAGCATCAAGAGACCCTCAGAAATCTATAAGAATATTTTTGGTGAGGGCATAATTGATTTCTAGGGGGATGTTTATGATGTATGCATTATCACACTCTCAGAACTTCATTCTCCACCTATTTAGGATTCCCACACTGGATTTTACAACCTGCCTTCACATATGAGATGTTGAAGCTTTCAATGAGGTCACGCCAGACACTGACAAGCACTGATGGGTGAGTCATGCTGCAGTAGCCAGAGATACTAGCAACAGATTTGTTAATCTGTATGCAGTCTAACCCTTTTTCTGGTCTAGGATCTTATTCAAGGGTGAAATACAGTGTCTCGGAGATTGGTGACTGCAGAATTGCTCAAGAGCAAGGCCACATTTTCACAACTATTTTACAGATTATAATAAGAATCAGTTCCTGGGAGCATGTTTACAATAATGTAAAATGTTGGTTTGGCTATAAAATCTATAAAACAGGAGATCAAGATCCAGATGGGGTCAACAATGTTCATTGCAGATCATTGGAAAAGCCACCATGCTAATATGGAATCTAAGTTCCACCTGCTCTTGCTCCAGCAGTTCCAATCATCATCTCCAGCAAACTGCTCTTCCAGAAGCTACATCCCTGTACCAGGGAGAGCAGGTGTAAATACACATCCATACACCAGCCAGTCTAGGACAAAGGCCAGTGCAGTCACAGCACTGTTAGGCTTGGGTCTGAGCTAAGACATCCAGCCCTAACCCAGCAGGGTCAGGCAGAGAGCAAACTCTCTTCTGCTGGCTCTGCTGTGGGGGGAAACCTGTGGAGAAGGATTAGACCAGACCATTTCCTGATCTGCCACAAGAAAATTCTCCATGGAAGCTTTGGAAGTGTGGCAAGGACAGAGAAAACCATGGAACAAGTGAGATATGGGGACTGAGTGCATGACAGCAGAAAAAAGTTTCATAATCTTGGCTGAACTACTGAACAGTCAGAGAAAGAACCAACAATAAAGGGAAGAGGCAAAGTAAATCTAAAAGAAATTCTGCAGACAGACAACAAAGAAATGAGGTGCTGTTGTATTTTCATTGCTGCAAAGCTAAATTAAGCTTCCTAAGTCAAGCAGAGAAATAAGTGTTTTAGACTTCTATTCAGAAAACAGCATGAGCAGCAGTTGCCAGTGGACAACTAACAAAAGGTGTCTTCTCTCAGAGAAAGAAAGCCACATTGCATAATTGTAATGAGTTTCCTCCTAGTTTCACATTATTAGTCACCTTTCACCCTTCTCTGCCAAAGGCCTCTTCTTACCCATCCATCCAAGGACCAGAGCCAAGGCACAAGCCTTTCCTGTGCTACTTCTTTCCATCAGCCATTCTTCAAGGTCAAGGCCTCCACAATACTGATCACTGTGCCCATTCCAGGCATTCTGAACCAATGCCAGAGTAAAACCCCCTTCAGCCCTGCTGTTGGGAAAAGATTCGAGACACCTGAGTAGATCTTCCTTATACTCATTTGTCATGGCTTGGAAAAGTAGTTAGTCCTGAAATTGTGCAAATATTTAAAAGCAAAACCATTGCAAAGATTCATCGAAGAGCCTTCACCAGCAGAAGACATCCTACCTAGAGTCCCTTGGAAACCTGTTTGACTCAAGTGGAAATGACCTACTGGCATTTATTTGTAATTGCCCAGCATGGCAGTGGAAGGAAAAGCTATTGAGTCACACTGCAAGCCACTTTTCCACCTCTGTCTGGTTGCCCAGAGGGTAGAGTGGGACAGTCAGAAGGCTGAGATTTTGTTTATGTCTCTGAAACTGATTATCCATATGACCTTGCATGTACTTCTTGTGCCACCATTTTCCCACTTCTTAATACCTAAAACCACTCGACTCACGGGTCAGTCAGAAGTGCCCAGCAAGGAGCATGTTTGTTCCTCTAGTAAAAGGTAAGAGAAGAGCAAAGTGGTATTATTGTTGTCATACAATACAAAAGCAGTTACGTAATAACATCAGCATTGCTTCATTTTTGTCATTACAACACAAACTGTCAGAGGGACACTGCCTGACATGATATCTTCATCCCAGTGGATGTACCCAAGTGTTTACTTCATTGATACAAAACCAGATTACAACAATCTGGAAGACTCTACCTCGTTTATTTTGACCATCTAGAACATGTTTTTCCTGTATAACCTCATAACCCATAATAATGGCCCAAACTGCACTACAGGAATGATGGCAGGTTTCATGAGCTAGTAAAAGGAGAACAATTCCTCACTTGTGCATTGCACAACTGCTCACACACTAAAGCACACAAGTGCTTCTCTTCTTTGTAAGCAGACAACAACCTGAAAGTTAGTTTCTAAACCTGCACATCATACACACACAGAATACTTTTTAAAAAATCTCAGTGCCAAGAAAGAATTAAAGAACTCCCTAATTTGGCTAAATTACATTCTGCTTGTCTGATGACAAATTTCCTAAAAAAAAGCATTGACAAATGCTGTTCATAACTGCTCTATAATTAATAAACAAATTTCTTTGCTTGAAGTTCTGTGACTTATTCTGAAATTTAAAATCCTTTGCTTAAAAACGGTCAGATTCAAGCAGCATGTGGACTGAAGGCTGAGGAAGGCATGGCTGTGATTACCGCAGCTGAAACCGTGCCCTAATCACACTCTTATCTTTCTTATCTACTGCAAGTATTTATAAAGCAATGATTACTGTACTAGGCCACATCACTGCTCTGAGTTTGTTCTGAACCAGCACCTTCGTGTTGCTGTAAGAAGTTTACACTGCTAGAGCTGGTGTCATTTTGCTGAGACAGAAAGCCAAGCTTCTCATCACTTAAAGTCATTAAAAAAAAATAAACTATGACACCTCTAAAGGAGTAGGGGTGTTAACCCCAACGTCCTGGCCGAACTCCCAGCTCGAGTAATTACAACGTGCCTTGAATAAATTCTTGCCACAGTTTCCTTTGGACACAGTATTGTTCTCTACTTCCTCTCCTACAATATTATGGAGTGCTGATGCATGCTCTTAAAGGTCCTGTCCGTGCTGGAATGTCCTACAGGTCTACCCCAGGACCAGCTCTGCAGCAGCACATTGGGAACAATGTGTTGAAACCAGTTCTGCCTGTCAGCTGAACCGCTAGGCAATTTGTAATATTTATTTATTGATGTTCTGGCACGTCCTCCAGATGGAATTAACTTTGAGTATGGCTAACTGATAGATAGACTGGTGCAAATCCCAGATACAGACATACTCTTTTATGTAATAAAGTTCTTTAAATGGACTAAATTTGCACCAGGAAATTAGCAAATGAAGCTAAACTAACTTTCTAGGTGCCTGCTATGGTCATCTGAGAAGGCAGCAAGAACATGCCTCATGCACAAGACTAGGAAAGCTAAATGTGCTGTTTAGTTTAGCTGACAACAATCAAGGTAGTTTTCACACTGGCTGTTCCTTCACAATTTCAGTGGACTTTTTCTAAACTGTCTGTTACAGACGATGCTGTATGTTTCTGAAGCAGTCACTGAATTCATACCAAATACAGATCTAGTATTTTAAGTAAAATACTTGACTGTTAATGCAAAAGCATTATTCACATTTTTCTGCAGCCACTGTTAGACTCTAAGGATTTTTACCTAGTGCTCTCATTATCTTTTTATGTGTGTAGCACAAAGAGCTGAGGCCCAGACTCTCTGCTGGCATTTGCCGAGTTAGCTCCACAGACCTTGCTAACTCTCATAATTCATGAGCTTTAAAGGTAATTTGTCTGCAGGAAGAAGTACAAGATCAAGATTCAGAAGAATCCAATTTTCAATTCTACCTTATGACCCCGTGGGCAGATCACTCCCTCACTGCTCCATTTTGTTCTCCCACCTCCAAAAGCAAATGATACCCACTAATTTGACAAAACAAGTACAAAATCAAATTTGTACTGACAGGCCACGCTGAGCGGTTTTGCCTTAAACACCATTGTTCTAACATTTGAAAATACAAATATTTACCTTTCAAGCATGTCCCTAATTTCCCCAGAAGCATGTCTCCAAACCCATTTTATTTTAGAAGACAGAAACCGTATTTTCAGAAAGTGAATGGTTTTATTTTTCTGTCATTACAAAAATGCCTTTTAACTTGTCAAATGATACACTACAAATATCTTTGGCAGATGAATGAATCCAAGTTTCCTGTCATAGCTGCCAACTTCGAGGTTGAGATAATCAGATAAACCTTTAGTTTGCTTCTCCCCATACCTAAACTACATGTGTTTGAAGTGATCCACATCTGTCTTACTTTTCCTATTGGGATTTGAAAAGGCAAAGTGTCAGACCACTATGTGCCAAGTTCACAAAACTCTAGGTGTGGTCCACAGTTGTTTCAGCCAATCTCTGGTCTCAACTTTCCCCCATCCCAGGTTGAATAGTCCCCAGTAGCTCTGCTTGTCTAAAGGTAAATGCCAAGTTTACATACATAGTATCCAGCATCACCCTCAAAGGCCTGCTGGATACAAAGCCTTATGATACAAAATACCTATTAGATTATGGGAAAATAGGAAGGAAGTTTGTTTCGCTTGTTTTATTTCAGCAGGATCAGTAATACTAGATTAATTGGATTATTTCATACTGGGGACACTTCAAAACTGAATATTTGCAGGGTACTTTATAACCGAGTGCACTGTCCCTTCAGTTTAAGCCTGAATTCAAAAGTAGAAGCCATCCCTACAAACACACCTTTGACAAAGTTTGTGTCTTATGTAACTGTTTCTATTCATTTATTATCAGGATGTCAGTACGAATTGTTATTTTGATGATTCCTTGCCCCCATACTTCTGAAAGGGAAAGCAACTGTAAACACAAGGGAGACTGACCTCAGTGATTTCCTCTGTTCAGACAGGAGCACAATGCGCTCAAACACCAAGACAAGGAGAAGTGGACTGTTTAGAATTCCTCCAGCTGTAATCTATAGTAAAAACAAATAAACAAATACGTGACTACAAGATGCGATAATTAATCCCTGCATGAAGCCAACTGTTATCTCTGCTTCATAGATGGAGATACCAAAGCACACAAAGGCTCAACAACCTACCAAGTTCAACACCAAGACTGAGAGCCAAGACTACAGCTTGGGAGGCCATGTGCTCAGTCCATGAGATTTTTTTTTTTTTTCCTTTTGTGATCATAAACCAGACACAGTTTGGCCAAGGGCAGGCTGAAATGTACCCATTTGGTGAGGGCAGTTGCACCAGAGTTAGCACCTACCACCCCCTGGGATCGTCACTGCCGGTAGCTGAGCTGCTCCTGACTGGAGAGGCGGCTCCACTCAGCCTTACCCCAGCCAACCTGCCCCCAAACCACCCTACTCTCCCACACCTGCCCCTCTAAAGCTCCCACGTGCCCCAGGCCTCTTCACTGCCCTCATACTTCATCTCCCCACCAATGTCCAGGCCCCATCAGCCCCATCGCTGAGCCTCCCTTCCCTCTGCTCCCTCCCAGAGCCCCCAGCCAAGCTGCCCCACGCCTTTGCTAAGTTTCCCCATTCCCCCTCATGCCTGCTGTCCCCCCACAACCCTGCTGAGCTCCTACGGCCTCAGCAGCAGCCCACCACCATCAGGTCCCTCTCCCCCCTCAGGGTCCCCACAACCCTCTCCCCAAAACTCCCCTCATCACCCCCAGGTGCCGGCTCCCTCCCGCCCCTCAGTGACTCCTCACCCTAATTACCCCTCACACTGCCCAACCTGCCCCCTCACGCCAAAACCCCTCCTCACACAACCCCCTGCGCCGGCTGCCCCTCCTCACAGAGCCCTCACACCAACACCCCCCGTCGGAGTCCTCTCACACCAACAGCCCCTGACACCGACGCCCCCTCCCCACACAACCTCTCGCAGCCGGCTGTCCCCCTCCTCACAGACCCCTCACACCAACGACCTCTTACATCAAGGACCCCTCACAAGAACACCCCCCCTCACGATCCCCTCACACCGAAAGCCCCTGACAGCACCCCCCCCTCCCCACAGAGCCCCTCACAGCCGGCTGCCCCCTTCTCAGTGACCCCTCACACCAACCCCAACAGCTCCTCCCGCCCCCGCGCCACAACTGCCCCTCCGCCGCCCGGCCCCGCCCCTGCCCCCCCCCCGCCGCCCCCCGCCCCTCCCGCCGGCCGCGGCGGTGCTGGTGGGGGGGGGAGAGGGCGGCGAAGTCTCGCGAGAGGGGCGGGCGGGGGCCGCTGGCTGCGGGCAGCGCGGAGCGGCGGCGGCGGCGCAGCCGGAGCCCGGGCGGCGCTGAGGGGAGGCGGCGGCGGCGGGGCGGCGGCAGCGATCGCGGCCCGGCACACGGACCCGCTCCGCCGCGGCGGCACGGCTGGAGCCGCCCGCCCTCCCGCACGCCGCGCCTCCGCGGCGCGGCCTGGCCGCAGCTCGGCGAGCGGGGCCCAGGCGGTGGCGGCGGCGGTGGTGGCGGTGGCTGAGCGCTCCGCCGCGCCCGCCCTGCCATCTTAGGTGCCGTGCCCCGCCGCCTTTGTGCCCGCCGCGCCCGGGCACCCGCGGGGGCCGGGCCCGACGCCCCTCCGGGGGCGCCTCCCCCCGCGGGGCCGCCGCCCCTTGCCCCGCTCCTCCTCCTTCTTCTCCTCCTCCTCCTCGTCCTCCTCCTCCTCCGCGGGGGGCCGACCGGCGCTCCCAGCCCGGCTGCGGCGGAGGGTAAGGCGGGCGGCTCGGCCGGGGCGGCCCCGGGGAGGGTGAGGGAGGAGGTTGATGGTGGTTGGGGGGGGCGGCCCGGTGGGGCCGGCGCCTCCCCCGCCGCGCTCTGCGGCACTGCCGCAGGGTCGGGGCCGCGGCCGCCGCCGAGCACCGGCGGGGGAGCGGGCGGCGAAATGGCGCTTCCCGCGGAGGGGCGGCCGCGGGCGGAGGGGTGTTCCCCGCTGTCAGGGCCGCCGGAGGCCCAGGGCTGGGGCCGGGGCCAGGCGTGCCCGGAGCCGCGGCCCTTTTTGTCTGCGGCCCCCACACCCCCCCCTCCATCACAGGGGGCTTCACCGGCAGAGCTCGGAACCCCCGGGGGGCTTGGGGGTCCCTGGGAGACCCGCGTGGATTCCTGATTCTTGCCCTTTATTTTTCCCCCCCCTTTTTATTTTTTTTCCTCCCTGCCCCTCGCTCCTCCCCAAGCGGTGAGTTTTCAGTGTATATACCATTTTGTTCGGTGCTGGTGTGGGATTTGGCTCAAAGTGACCTATTTTAAAGACCTTTTATTGCTCCCCCCATCAGCAATGCATGTGGCGGCCGATTCCGTTACCCAAATAGCGTTTCCCAACCATTTTAATTTGTCAGATTAAAACATCTCATGGAGGCTGGATTTCTGTAACCCGCGTGTGGGTATGTCTTTAGAAATATCTTTCACCCTGCTTTGCTGCAAGCATCTTCGGAGCATCAGAGTTCACCTTTGTCACTGTGAAAGCAGAAATAAATATCGAGGCGATACCTGGGAGATGCAGTTGTACCATTGTGTTGGGCGCGGTACAAGAAATGGGGTGGGGGGTGCAGAAGAATCAGGGATTAAAATGGTTGTTGTCAACTGTAGATCCGTGCATATCTTCAAGAAGAAAAATAAGACAACGGTATCAGCACTGAGGACTTTTAATTTATTTTGTTAGAAAAACGTTTTGTGTTTATCACGCTTGTCTCTGCTGCTTATCATGGTAGGGAGTATTTCGTTAGGTGGCATTTTAGTGGCTGTGTTGGTTAAATAGCAGTTGCATTAACTAGTTGAACAAATTGTATCCTTCACCTTTGACTGTTGCATTTTGAGAGCCCTTACAGCAGTGTGCCCATGCATGCCAAGGGCGGATTAATAAGATGTTACCTAAAGGTTCGGATGCTATTGATTCCTTACTATTAATGCTATTTATAGTGCATTTGACATGGCTCTTGTTTTATGTATTTGGATAAAGGTTATCAGCTTGAAGTGCTTCGGATGAAATGTTCCCAAAATACCACCCCTGACACGCACACACAATATACATATATATTATTGAACAATATAACTCAGGTCTTCAGTGTCTGAAAAATAGCTTTAGCAGATAGCCCATAATGGTGAAAACAGTGAAAATATCATACATTTTGACACTAGTGAAGGTTTGTTTTCCTATTTCAGGATTAGAAAATAACAAATTCTGTAGCAATAAATATAATTTTAGGTACATTTTTCTTGCCCCTACTTTGGGCCTACATTTTCCTTGCCTTTGTGCCTGCTCATAGTGAGCATGTCATAGTTTTTGCTACTTATGTCCAAGGGCAAACCTAATCAACGATTGGTTTGAGCCTTCATATTAGATTCTCCACAACATTGGCCTAGTTCTGACTGGTATGTTTGCCATTTTTAGGACTCCTCTTCCTTTTACCCATAGACTGAAATACATTGATAAACTTGAACCTTAATTTGTCCTTTGAACTTGAGAGAATGTTTTTCTCCTCTGTTAAGAATACCTCACTGAAGAGAAAGTGATTCTGGTAGAACAGCTTAATTTTAAGTTTAATCCAGTTGAAACACAACTGCCTGAAGTAAAAACTCCTTGGATAGTTTGATATTATTTTTCTTTTTAACTAGACTGAATTAAGTGTTGCCTGTACAGGACCAGATGTTGGCATTAAAATTATGTACAGATAAGTTGGCTTAGGCCTCAAGTTAGACTATTTGAAAAATTTATCTGTGTCCTGCTGTTAAATTCTGGTATAACCTAAGCTGGAAAACTTTAAATGTTTACTTCCAGCTAAATAACATTTCCATTTGTGTGCTTTTCATCTCTGTCTATATTCATCAGGTTTTGTCACCAGAATAACATATTTTTAATGAGTTGTAAGACAGCCTCAGGTTTTATGCTTGGTGAGATACATTGGAGGAGAAGCAAATATCACAGTAATAATTACATCTTCAGATGTATCCTAGTAGTGGATTTCCTGTAACGAGGATGTTTTGTAGAGAACAATAGATATGGCAGCAAATTCAGAGATTTGTTTTAAAGATGTTGTAGGTAGCTGACTCTGCAGCAGTGAGTTCCACTTTGACACAACCCTTGCATGCTCAACAGGAACATTAGATGGTTTCCAGGTACTTCTTTTTCAGGTGTAATTCTCTTTCTAGCAAAGACAGACTGGATGTACAACTGCTGTTACTTCTCATGTCTGTTGCTTCTGCAAGGATATACTTTTGATCTAACTTAGTAGAGACTAAGATTGTTTACAAAATATGCCTCATAGAAGTTATTTGATGCTATAGATGTTTTTTGAAATAAGAAAATATTTAGGGTTGATTTGGTTCTCTCTGTGATCCAGAAGTGGTGAGGAAGCTATGGTAAATACCACTTGTCTTATTCCATTCTTAGTGTATTTTGGGGAACACTTGCATAATCACCAAGATCCTATCTTAGAAGCATTTTCTGTTTTGTTCCTATTCATATTAAAATCATGTAAACAACATACTGTTACATTGAAGCACACACTAGAAACTATAAAAGCCTTTGGTGTTATCAGGAGTGACCCAGGCTCTTCTGAATGACTGCTTCTGCAAGGCCATTACATTTTTCCTGTCCAAGTATGCTGTGTAGTGTGAAGGATTTCAGTTTTATTTCCTTTTGTGAACCTGGACAAAGGGAAGAGCTGAACTTCAACCCTGGGCTAGAATCATGACTGAATTGGAAAGTCTCCTGGGTCTGACAGCAGGGTTTCAGTTATGGATGACACACGTCCTCCCTTGGTTAACTGTGTTTGGGAGAAGCTTGCCTACAACACCACAGAGAGGGATGATTTAATACCTTCTGAGACCAATGTCTGCCCTTTCTTTTATAGCTCTAGAATGTGTCTTACTCTTCTTACATTCTCCATCATTCTTGACGGACATGGTGCAGGACGAAATCCTGGTCTGTGCAGTCTGGTGCTCTGGCAAGTTCCTCTTACTCTAGAAGTTTATTGAGGTGTGTGATGCTGTCCTCCACCTGCTTCTCCTTGCATGTCATTCCATTGGCTCTGGTCTTTGATCCTGCACCAGCAGAAAGCTAAGCTAAGTGAAAATACAGAGAGTTTTGTGTCAACTTGGTGATGTGAAATGGCTCAGTGCAGTTAGGTGAGGCTGGAGACAGCCCCAGGGACTGGGCTGTGCCACCACAGCCAGCGATGAGACTGGGAGACAGGTTGGTGGCACTTTTTACTATATTTGTAGTGGTTAGGTTTCAGGATTCTTTGTTTTTATTGTCCTTTAACATGCTGAGGAGTTGCTGAAAATACATTGATTTCTCCATGGAGAAGAGACTGAAAAAAATCCAATGGATAAAGGGTCAGAAAACTACTAATCCCCTCCTGTGAAGTTCCAGAGGGAGAGTCCTTCCTGTGAAAAAAGAACTTAAAATATGAAAACATGAAATCAGAGGTGAAGTGCAAAGTGTCTGAGGGAAAGAAGTGCGCACAAAACAGGAGGAAAGGATGGAGAGCTGTTTAAAAGCAGAGTTGGCTTTTACACACTGTATGCTC